CTGTGTTTTCCATCCCTTCTGTCGCACCTCCCTTTGCCTCCCACCCCTTCGCCGAAGCCGCTGTCTCCGCCTCTAGCGTCCTCCCCCCCTCCTCTTTCGCCTCTTCTGTCCCTTCCACCCCCTTGCCAACTAGTCCCTCCTCCCTCCCTTCCTCCGCCCTTTCCTCGCTGCCCTGCAAGGTCTCCGAGTTCCCATGCCCCACAGCTTCAACCTTCACCACTGCCTCCCCTACCTCCTCTTTTACCTCTCCCTCTTCTTCACCCTTGCACCTTCCCTCCAGAGTGTCTTCTAGATCCATCACCACCAGGCGCGCCAGGGGGCAGAGCTGCAGCACCTTGCCACACTCGCTAACAAGATCCTCGTCCGTTACGACCGATGCCTGCGCCATTTCCGGCGAGGACGAAGGGGGGGGGGGAGGAAGGGAGGGAGGGGGCGCTGAAGCAGGAGATTGTCTTGTATCTACCTGAATGGGGCCCTCCTCGCTAGGTTCCTTTGCTTTTCCCTTCTCCTCCCCTCCTGAGGAGGAGCCTTTGTCCAGAACCTCCACCTCTCGCCCTTCGTTCTCTTCTTTCCCCATCGCGACTTCTAACCCCACAGCCACCGCGGCGGCCGTCACCGCCGCCGCCGCCGCCGCCGCTTTTTTCCTCTCCTCTGCGGCTTCGAGGGCCGTGCGCGCATCCAACAAGCGTTGCCTGGCAGCAGCTTTCACCAGGGAGGCCAAAAGGTACCGAGACATCACCTTAACTTTCGTCCGGTGGCGAGCGGGTAGACGCACCTCATCTTCGATCCGCGCCCATCTCCGCTGGGCGCTGAGGCTTCCCCGTGGCTCACTCACATAGCCATACTTCTGCAAGGCCGAGAGCAAGCGTGTCAAGGCCGCCATCGTCACCCGCTTTCCGCCCTCTGTCCCTTCCTCCTCCTCGTCCTCGTCACCGGACCTGCCTGCATCCACTTCACTCTCCGAACTGCCCCCTCCCTCCCTTCCTCCCTCCTTCCCTCCCCTTCTCCCCTCCCGGTACACCTTCTTCCCCTGCTTGCAAAGCCTATCTCCCCTCGTTCCAGCCTGTTTTCCCTGCTTCGCGAGCCGCAGTCCTACCACCTTCGCCCAAAAATGAGGGTCTTCCACGCTCGTCCCCAAGGCGCCTTCCTCCCCTCCCACCGTGCCGGGGAGGGCGAACCTTGCCTTGGAAAACGACCCAAGCTTGCGGGCCGTGCTTTCGTTGCCGGCACCCGCGTCGTGGACGATGCGCGTGGCCCGCTCCTGGAGGATGGCGTCGATGTCGTCTTCACAGAACTTTCTGGAAGCCTCCTCCCCTCCCTTCGCCCGTTCCTCCGCGAACACGTCGTAGGCTCCATGCCGCAGCAACTTTTCGAGCTCCTCCTTGGACAAGGGTGCCTTTCCTCCCTCCCTCCCTCCTTCCTTCCCTCGATCCATCGATTGCAGCACCGCTTGGTCCAGACCGAGTTTCAAAGAGGCTTTGTGGAACATCTGCTGCTCGTACGTGTTGGCAGTGATGAGTCGAAAAATCTGAGAGGGGGGGCAGGGGA